CCCCCCCTTTTTTTTCGAGGCTGTGTTCTCATCCCCTATCCAATTCCCGTACGTGAAGACAGCCTGGAAAGGTCATGCCACCCATACTCCGGGGGGAGATGGATATATTCCTGTGGGAGCTGAGTGCTTTGGAGAGGAGCCAACACACCCAAGGAGCTTCAGCCCAGAGGAGGGTTTTGGTGTGTGTGTGGGTGTGTGTGTGTGTGTGTGTGTGTGTGTTTGCATGTTTTTCAACAGCTCTAAGCATTCAAGCCTTGTTTTTCCTATTCGGCACTACGGATTATGGATGAATAAGCATAAAGATATCCAGGCAACATTAAAAAAAAAAAAACCTCCACCATATCCAATCCTTTAATACAGTCTTGGCTTTGTGGAGTACAACGCTGGGTTATTTACCCAATAACTGAGTTTCCTTTCTGATTATTCACATCACTCCAGGCACATTCAGGGTTTCAGAACAGCTCAACGGGAGAAGAACTCCTCTTTTTCTCTTTTTTCCTTCCCCCCCACCCCACCCCAGCTCATTTGAGCAGTGGCTGATGAAGATGCAGTGATTTCACACCGAGCTTCCCCGGGCCAGGAGGCACCTCTGGGGACACACAGGGCTGCGGCAGAACAGCCCACGTGTCTCTCCGGTTTTGCCCACCTGGTTTGTGTCAGCCTGGCCACGGGGAGGCATGGTGTCTATTTTTTGGCCAAATATTTTCCCCTCAACACTAGCAATAGGCACAGATGAACTGGGCGATGCAAGGAGGGCCCTGATGATGCTGTCCCCCACAGTGCTGCCATGTGTTGCCACTTGTAATGGGGCCGTGGCCGTAAAGACCCTCCTCTTCCTCCTTAGCCATGAAGGAGGACCCAACCTCCTCCAGCTTAGCTCCATGCCTAGAGCAAGTCTGGCCGGTTTCTCCCATTGCTCTGTATGATCCAAGGCCCCACGGCCCCAATTTACAGCCAAGGAGAGTTGCCCAAAAGCTTCCCGTTGGTTGGCAAGTCCTAGCTTGAACCCCCTGGCTCCTGCCACCTCTGGCTGGATTAGACAGAAGGCAAGAAAACTCTGCTGGTGACTCGGGGCAGGGGAGTTTCTGCTGGGCATGTAGCCCGGGATGTCTTGATGTTGCCATTTCTGCTTTCTTTTTCCCGAAGGTCCTTGCTGAAAACATGCTTTTCCACCAGCCTCCCCATGCAGGTAGGTGCTGTGGCAGCAGACAAGCATTCAGCCTCAGTTTTTTTCTCTTTTGGGTCTAGAACTCTATCCGGCACAACCTCTCCTTGAACAAGTGCTTCATCAAGGTGCCCCGGGAGAAGGGCGAGCCAGGGAAAGGTGGGTTTTGGAAGCTTGACCCCCAATATGCCGACCGGCTCAAGAACGGTGCCTTCAAAAAGCGGAGGATGCCCCCAGTGCAGATCCACCCGGCCTTCACCAAAAGAGCCCAGCAAGAAGCACGGTGCGTCACCAGCCCAGCCGCCTCGGCTTGCACCTCCAGTAACATCCTCAACATCAACACAGAGTCACAGCAGCTGCTGAAAGAGTTTGAAGAAGTCACCAGCGACCAGAACTGGAATCCAGCAGATGGCAAAGCAGGGCACAAGCGCAAGCAGCCCTTGCCCAAGCGAACGGCCAAGGCATCTCGGCTTTCCAACTCTGCCTTGCTGACCCAGGAAGAGCAGACCGAGCTGGGATCGCTGAAAGGTGATTTTGACTGGGAAGCCATCTTCGACACCAACCTGAATGGAGACTTCTCCACTTTTGGGGATCTGGAGCTCACGCCTCCAATCAGCCCCATAACACGCGACCTGGACTTGACGGTACATGGGCACCACATCGACTGTCCCCAGGGGCAGGAGCAGGTCCTCACCGAATCCAACCAGAACAACCTGGACTTTGATGAAACCTTCATGGCCACTTCTTTCCTGCAGCATCCCTGGGACGAAGGGACAAACGATTACCTCTCCAACTCCGTCAACGTGGAGCAGTTGTTTGAACTCAACGACGCCTCTTTGCCAGCGGATGTAAGCGACTGGAGCAGTCTGGCGTCCCTCTTATAAGAGGCCAGTCACCATTCAAAGCCCACACAGACTTTAGTAGGATGCTCCCCCCATGCTGCTGGGACTTACAAGGGACAAGATTTTCTAGAGACAGATGTCCACAGTGACTTTTACCAGCTTCATCGCAAGATTATTCACAGAAACACCGGGGCGGGGGGGAAATCAACACCACAGGCACTGCTTGGTATATCTTTAAAGGATGCATCAGAAGTCTCTAGTCCATGAGTTTCCTCAAGAGAAGAAATATAACGCTACTTATTTTTTTACTTTTAGAGGAAGAAATGTGAATTATCGTATTTTTTTTTTCCACGGAAATGGACATGGCATATGTTCCTTCAGGGCTAAAGGAGAGCACCTGCTAAATCCCATCCAAGACATGAGATTCCTGGTGGCTTAAGACTCGATAGACTAAGTGCAATTTCCTCACCCCTTCGTCTCTCCGTTTCTCTCTCTCTTTCCTTTTTCTGGCTAGGATAGTTGGTAGGTATAGTGTGATAATTAGCTAGCAAGCAAATAGAGGTCCCTTCTGGATTCTCTGAGTTCAACCTCCCTCCTGACTTGTGCCTAGGGAAGAAGAAAAGGTTTATAAATTCAGCAAGTCTGCCTCTTTAGATGTTTTTATATAATCTATTATATATTATATATTCAAAGAAACCTATATTTTTAGCACTAGAATTTCTTAATAGTGGGGGGATAGGGGAAATGCAGTTTGGGAGTTGTTTTATATTTTCACTGTTTAAAGGCTTGTGTTAGTTGTTCTGTAAACCAAGACCACGCGAGGGAGGATTCCTGCAGCAGCAGCAACAGATTTCGTTAAGGATCCAGGAATTGGCCCCAGCTGGAGAGAAGCAGCGGAGACCGGGGCGCTCCCAGAATTGGCTTTCGTATTTTTTGTACCCAAAATCCTCACTGTGGTTGCCGAAGGGTCTAGACCACCATAAACCCTCTCGGTCTTTCACCAGCTGACATAGCCCCTCTCTGTTTTTTTGGTCCACGACTGTTGTTCTCCACCTTCTGCTCATCTGTCAGGCTCCGAGTGGCTGCCCGGTGCCCGGCCAATGCAGGACCCCGATTAAGGATGCGCTTTTGGAGGAGCCATAAGGAAAACACCGTGGCGTGGCCGTCAGCTGGTGGCGATGGGGTTACTCCACATCAGATGCTCCCAGGTGGGACGGAGGAGGAAAGAAATCCACATTCAGGCTCTATCCAGGAGCTCAGGCCAAAGACTGTGCGTGCAACGGGCTCTGGGGACGGCAGCGGAGATGACGTCCCATCTAGCCGGGAGAGCTGCCGGGATTGACAGAAACTGAAGCTTTGGCCCTTTGGCTTGGTGTGCAGCGAGAGCGTGGCAGGGTCTCTGCAAAGTAGCTCAGAAACATTTCAGGAGCAGAGCCAAACTCTGCTGAAACTTGACTTGAAGCTCTCGACAACTGGATTCTTCACCTCTCCTTTGCTGTAGGTTACTAGAGGTAGAGTAGCCATCAGGTAGGAGTAAGTAGAAGATGTAGTTTTAGTGGTATGTCTTAGACTTGCCGAAAAATGGAAGATTGTAAAGAGTTTCTTTTTTGGTTACAAAAGCACTTAGGACCTTTAACGTGAGCAATATAATTTAGCGAGAGTATAGTTGTAGTGTAAGAATCAATAAACAAGCCTTAAAAAATATATAAATTACCCTTGGAGTAATTTGCACCCAAATTTGGGGAGAGGGTCGGAGCCGTGGAGGTGGGAGCGCAAGTCCCGCATGCCCCTGGTAAAGCGTGGGGCAGGCTGAGAACCAGCACTTTCAGCTCATGCAAGCAGCAGAGCTGGGGCTGGGGCCGCTGCTTTGCCTAGGTGCCAGCATCTGAAGTCCCCTGGGATGCCACCGCACGGCTGGGGACAGTGTCCTGGGGCCGAGGAACGAGGGCCATGTCTCTGGGGGCTTTGGGAGTCGGTGTAGGTGTTTATATCTGTATTGGCAATGCTTCTTTTTATTTGTTATTTTTGTTATATCTTCCTGTTTTGGGGCCTCTATACTGATGCTGAAGAACTGCAGAGATATGTGTGCAATTTAACCTTTTTCATGGAAAGTTCTTTACAAATTAAAAAAAAAAAAGAAAAAAAAATGCAGAAAAAAACTCCCTTTTGCCTCCTTGTTTCCCTCCAGCACCGCCTGGCTCTGTCTGACCCTCTCCCCTGTAGGTAGGGGACATCTCCCCAGCCCAGCCCTGGTTGTACACCCAGACCCGGTACGTGGGTGCTATCACTCCCCTCCGCAGCGGCACACCAATTCCCCGCGGGGAAACTGAGGCACAAACC